AATAATAATAATAATAATAATAATAATAATAATAATAATAATAATAAAACACAAAGCAGTAGTCACAACATGAAAATCCTCCATATTCAATAAGGAAATCTATCCCATATATTATTCCTCTTGCTTTCCGTTTCAAAGAAATGTTTGGCAGATTATTAAAAAAAGCAGAAATAACATTTTTTTTTCCTTTACTTCTTCACGGGACAAGAATAGTGTATTCCCATCGTATCGTATCGTGTCAGTAAAAAAAAAAAAAAAGAAAATTTATAGAGAGTCGACGGGGATAAAAAAAAAAAACAGACATTATGGATGTCTTTATTATTAGCATTTCACCCAAATGTGAATCAGGTTCTCTGCAGTCTATTATAGATCTATGGATTATAGCATGCATATATATATATATATCCAAATTCCAGTGCTTCAATCTTCTAATGAAATAAAGAAACGCAGGATATAAATGGATTCTATTCTCTTTTTTTAGTACAGGCCATCTTTGTGAAAAAGTCTGATAGTTTCATCTGACCTCTTGGTTTTGGCACAGTCTCATTGCTAGTCCTTGAAGATGATGATGTAGATAAAGTACTAGCCTGACTCTTTGTATGGACGCCCTCATTAAACAATTGACGAGAAACGGAATTAGCAGAAGGTACAGCAGAACTTCCTTGACTGCTATTGATACTGCCTAACGATAAGGGAATCGTTAACTCCGTCTGTCGTGAAGTATTTTGAGTACTTGGAGTTGTTTCTGTAATTTCTGAAAATGTCTGAGAACTACAGAAAACTGTCTTGGCAACTGTACTTGGCTCCGTGTTTTGTTTCTGTGATGGGGAAAAGGACTCCAGTGATTTGGTACATTTGGTATTGACAGCAGAGTTTTCTTCTTCTTGCTGTTGTTTTTGCTGTTGTGATGGTGGAGTATTTGCGATCTTCACAACAGTGTTGGTGGCACCGAAGGCGAAGGCGGCCATTTTCTCAATTCCGTTACCACCACGACGGCGAACTTCCAACGGAGCTGTCGTTTGATTTCCCCTCAATATATTATTATTACTATTACTATTAGGAGTAGTTGCAGTAGTAGTAATAGTAGTATTAGTAGGAATTGTTGTTGTTGTTGTTGTTGTATGAGCAGCATTAGTGTTTGGAACAGTGGGTTCCACTCTTGTCATCTTGAGTGGATGTGTGCAGTCTTCATCGTCGTCCAGTAATAGTCCCATTATTATTATTTTTATTATTGAATTCACAATCCACTGAGTGTTTAGGAGTCTCTTTTGTTTTGTTTTAACTGAGAAAAAACACAAAAAAAAGGAAAAGAAAAAGAAAAAGAAAAAGAAAAAGAAAAAGAAAAAGAAAAAGAAAAAGATTTCAGGAAAGCAGTAAAAATAAAACCATGAACAGACAAAGGTTTTAATAGTCTTGTAAAAAGATAAAAAAAAAAGAAAGAGAAATCGTAATAAACGCACAGAATGTGAAAAAAAAAAAGTGCGATTGAGTACACAATTAAATAATAATAATAATAATAATAATAATAATAATAATAATAATAAAGAGTAGTACGACCGAGTTTTTTTTTTTTCTTTTTTTGCTTTTAAGGGTGAAAACCCAAAACAAATGGTCTCTAGTGAGTCTAGTGATAATTTAAGAACATCAATGTACAAATATCTACAAGATTTTATCCCAGACAACAAATATCATTATCCGTGCAAACACAAATCCACATTATGTTGCAGCATAATAATAATAGTGATAATAATAAAAATCTTAAAACAAGAAAAAAAAAAAGAAAAAATGCATACAGAAGAAATCAACACATACACAGGAACAAAAACAAAAACAAAACAAAAAAAAAAAGATTAAACATAATAATAATAAAAACTGAATAGATCCTGTAAACTTAGAATAAAAGAGGTGACTTGCTCGTCAGTGAGTCTGCGGGAGAATTCTCTAAAGGCACGGTAAAACCCTTAAATTCCGGTGGAGTACCAAAGAGTACTTCCCTGCAAGACTTCTTTGTTGAGGATTGCAAAACAGTAGAGCAATCATCAGATGATACCGTCACTTTTCCATCTGTTGTTGGCATGCCTCCATGCATTATTGCAGCCAATGAAGAAGAAGACGCTTGTGGAGTGCGATGACCCTCCAATAGTGATGATTGTGGATTATATCGAGAGTGTTTATCCATTCCTTCTGTAGTTGACTTTGGCTGTGAAATGTCAACAGCATTCTTTCGTGATGGCGGAGAGGCGACAACCATTCGCCATTCCGATGTGTGTTTGACTGTTTTCACTTCCTTTGGTGGAATGACGCCTTCGCGAATGATTTGCATGCCTTTTGGTAATCGCGGATCCACACGAACTTTCAACTGTCGACGTGCCGTTGTGTTAAACTGACCCACAATGCGCATCACCTGTTGACGATAGAAACGATTGAATTCCTCCTCATTCTGTGTCTGTAGCGCCAACTCTGCGGCTTCTGGGGAAATAAAGTATCGCTTCTGGAGTGTGTAGTTGAGACGGCTGATGTGTGTACGGAGTTCTTCAGGATCTTTAGGGAATGTCGAAAGACCATCAAAGAAGTTTGTATTGTTTAAAAACAATTCCATCACGTCAGTTTTTTTCTTCTTTTATTTATATTGTTGTTGTTGTTCTTTTTTCTTTTTTTCGGTTTTGCTCCTTTACTCTTGATGTGCAGTGATAGTAGCGAAAAGCTTTTAAAAAAGCTTCTAACAAAAGTCTTTTTCACATACACAAAACACCAATACAAAGAAAGAAA